TAACACCAGCAGTTTGAAACAAAAAAAAAAAACAAAAAAAAACTGGCTAAACTAGCTAAAGCCAGTTGACAAACAATAGTTCTTACATACAATGTATCTATCTATGTAGATCTTATTGTCCTCTGCATATTATTCGCATATTTACAATCTAGTGCTAAATCGTATCATCTACTGATGACAGTAAAGGCCTATGATATGATGATATAACTCATTCGTACGAGAGACAAACAAATTGACCAAGTCTGGAATGTGTGTCGTATAGCACAGATATAGCTAAAACCCCAAAACAGATCAATTTTCCCCAAAAAGAAAAACGAAACATCTAACATAGTCTGTATACAATAGATTCAACTAAAACCGATCAATTTCCCCAAAAAGAAAAACGAAAAGCGGTATACCTGCCAGCCAAGAAATCTGCAGTTGTAGAATGCACAACGGTCAGCCGTCACTCTAAGTGCCACAGCCTGGCCAGACCCCTTGATAAAAAATAAAGAAAAAAAAAAAATAATACACCATCAAATTCAAAGAATTATAGTAGCTTACCAAAAGTTCATATCTCAAATTGAACCTCGAGATTATTCAGAATATCACCACACATTTTTAACACATAAAACTACTTCCCGCTAATCCACAACCATCAAATCCAAAGAATTCTTGTAGCTGCCCATAAGTTCGTTCAAATCTCAAATTGTACCTCGGCATTATTCAGAACATCACCAGACATTTTTAACACAGACACTATTTTCAGCTAATCCAAGTCCACAAAACACGATAAAACGAAATAAATACAATAATAAATTAGTACCTGCGGTGCAGAATTTTCAAAAGTGATGTTCTCAGCAATGAAATCCTCCCCCTCCACGATCGTGCTCCCGCACCCGAACGTCCCCGTCCCGATCACGCGCGAGGCCTGGTGGTGCTCGATCTGCGCGGCGGTGTTGTTCCACGTCAGCACCGTGTCCTCGGGGCTGATTCCGGCGAGCGTGATTAGGTTTTTGGTCTTGGCCACGTACAGGGGCTGCCGGTACACGCCCGGCGCCACGCGGATCACCGTCCGGACCGTGTTGCCGAGGGGCACCGCGTCGATGGCTTCCTGCACGGTCGCGTAGTCTGCGCCGGCGCCGGCGCCGCCCTGCGCCACGGTGATTATCCTGGTTGTCATGAAGAAAATGGGGGCAAAAGTGCTGCTGGGGAGTGAGAGTGAGAGAGAGTGTGTGAAAGGGAGTGGTGAAAAATGGTGAAGGGATGGCATTGAATTTATTGGGGATAAAAGGTTAATTTTAGGGTATTGGAAATTTGTAACTAATTGGGATTGGATAAGATTTTGATTTTGACTAATAATTTGGAAAATGTATTTGAAATATAGGATTGTCTTATTTTTCATCTTTTGAATAGCATACAATAATTTTAATGAAATTGCCTAAAAAAGTTATTGGCTCATGTTAATGGTGATTGGCAATATTTTTTACTGGTTTTATGTGATAAAGTGAGTTAATTTTGAAAAAAAAAAAGGAAAAATGATTGAGTGAGTGAGATTTTTAGTTGTATTTAAATAATATTTTAAACTATAATGATTAAAATTGATGNAAAAATGAGCCATACATTTGAAATATAGGATTGATTTTATTTTCATCTTTTGAATGTCATACCATGAATTTTAATGAAATTGCCTAAATTTTTTGGCTCATATTATGAAAAGTAAGCTTCGGTTAGATTGACATACCATTTTGGTTTTAGTATATATATGCCTCATAGGCTCATATCATGAATTGTAACTATGTAAGTTTTCAGTTATATTGACATACCTTTTTCTTAATAAATGTGGCACATATTGAACGGCAAGTTTTCAGTTAGATTGTCATACCTTTTTTTCTCAATAAATATGGCACGTATTATATATGAACCGTAAGTCTTCGGTTAGATTGACTTACATTTAT